GTCATGTGGTACAGAAGCAGAGGCAACAGAGTTGGCAAAGGATTTGAAGACACTTCTCAGTAAAGGAGGCTTTAATCTCACCAAGTGGTCAAGTAATAGTCGCAACGTCATAGACGCCATACCTGAAGCTGACAGATCGGTTACCATGAAGAACTTGGACCTTGGAGAATCCATTGTAGAACGTACGCTTGGTGTTCATTGGGATGTCGCAAAGGATAGATTAGGATTTGAGATATCTACAAAGGACAAGCCAACCACAAGAAGGGGACTGCTGTCCATCATTAGCTCTGTATACGATCCGCTTGGTATAGCATCACCCTTCGTATTGTCAGCGAAGATGATATTACAAGACCTTTGTAGATTACAGCTCAAATGGGACGATGTCATCCCTGACAGTCATCTGTACAGATGGAGGAAATGGCTTTTGGAACTACCTAAGCTGTCCAGCCTTACCATACCAAGATGTTTGAAACCACCCGACATGGGAGATGATGCAATCTATCAACTGCACCACTTCTCGGACGCATCTCAGTCTGCCTATGGCGCTGTAACCTACCTACGAATCACGAACCCTGATGGACAAGTACATTGCTCGTTCGTAATTGGCAAATCGCGTCTCGCCCCAATCAAGCCTATGACCATCCCCAGATTAGAGTTATCGGCTGCAGTTGTTGCCACAAAGTTGGACAAGAAGATGGCGTCAGAGATTGATCTTCCACTTTCTGAATCAAGATTCTGGACGGATTCGACGACCGTTCTGCAGTACATCCACAACCATTCCAAGCGATTTAGTGTGTTTGTTCGCAATCGCGTAGCAAGTATCCATGATTTAACTAAACCCAGACAGTGGAGATATGTAAACTCTAAAGATAACCCCGGCGATGATGTATCAAGAGGTCTCCCCGCAGACAAGTTGACGAATGATAAAGACAACCGATGGRTAAATGGTCCTCCATTTCTTTGGAAGAGCGAAAACGCCTGGCCTGTGATTAACATTCAGCTACCGGAAATCTCAACAGACGATCCTGAAGTGATACGCGAGAAACAAGTCTACAACGCTTCAAGTGAAGAAGCGGATAACCCCCTAAAACAGCTTTACACTCGGTACTCCTCTTGGTACAGACTAAAGATTTCAGTGGCATGGCTCCTGAGATTCAAAATGTACTTGATTAACAAATATCGAAGCTCGATGAGTCCAAGCTGCTCTGTTGAAGTTCTCAAGGGAGAGTTGTCAGTCAAGGAGATCAATGACGCAGAAAGAGAAATCATCAAGGATATCCAGAAGGACGCCTATGAAACCGAAATTACTATTCTGAAGAAACAACCCGCCTTACACTCGAATGTTCAGCCTTCAAAGGGAAACTATTTGCCTAAATCAAGTTCCATCCAAAAGCTATGCCCATTTCTACAAGATGATGTTCTGTGTGTTGGTGGACGTTTGGACTATGCCCCRATCGCAGAAGATGCAAAACATCCTCCAATTCTTCCCAAAAACCACCCAGTTTGTGAGCTCATAACCAGACACTATCATCTTACGTATGGTCACGTTGGACGAGAACACGTGCTATCTCTAATCAGRCAAAGCTACTGGATAGTTGGAGCAAGAGTGACCGTTCGTCGTGTAGTAAAGTCGTGCTTCGATTGTCGGAGGAGAAAAGCCCCACTGTGTACGCAATTTATGGCGGACTTACCTAAGGAGAGGCTCACACCTGACAAACCACCATTTTCCTTCGTGGGAACGGACTTCTTTGGTCCCTTTTTYGTTAAAAGAGGAAGAAGTGTAGAAAAACGTTATGGRTGCATATTCACATGCTTATCATCGAGAGCCGTGCATCTTGAAGTCACGCATTCCTTAGAAGCTGATTCTTTCCTCAACGCATTAGTTCGTTTCATYAGTCGCAGAGGCAAGCCAATTGAAATAAGAAGTGACAATGGAACTAACTTTAAAGGTGGCGATAAGGAACTTCGAGAATCAATCAGAGAATGGAACCAACAGAAGATTGAAAGCTTCCTAAAGCAACGTCAGATTATATGGAAATTCAACCCGCCAGCGGCCAGTAATATGGGAGGAGTGTGGGAAAGAGTCATTAGGTCTGTACGCTCTATCTTGTCTTCTCTGCTGAAGGAACAGACTACCACCGATGAGGCATTATTGACTTTCTTCAGCCAAGTAGAAGCTATCCTAAATAGCCGACCCCTTACAACGTGTAGCGATGACCCAAAGGATGACTCGCCATTAACTCCGAACCATATTCTGCTTCTTCGTAATGAACCCAATATGCCACCAGGYGTGTTCAAACCCAATGATTTGTACTCCAGACGTCGATGGCGCCAGTGCCAGTATCTTGCGAACTTATTCTGGGTTCGATGGCTTAAGGAGTATTTGCCTTCCTTACAGCAAAGGCAAAAGTGGACACTTCCTTCACGTAACCTAAAGGAAGGAGATGTAGTTCTGATGAAAGATGAAGCTGTCAAACGGGGCCAGTGGCCGCTAGCGCGTGTACTAGAAGTAATGCCTGGAAAGGATGGCTACGTTAGATCTGCTAAAGTGAAGACTGCAACCACAATCTTGACACGCCCAGCTAACAAGTTGTGTCTTTTGGAGGAAGCTCAGTAAAGTTCAAGAATAAATTTGTCAGATTGTATAGGACACTTTGAGTTAATCAATATTTTATTAACAGTTTTTTAAGTGTCGGATTATAGTTATGTATTAGTAATTGTTCCTTTGAAAATGACAATTAGGGGCCAGTTAATGTAGCCGCCAATTTCCATAAATTATAAAGTATTATAGGATAGATCGGGACACGTTGTTTGTATCTGTTTTGGATCGCACACATTTTTTGGTAGGTGTTTGTTTTGCTAATTTATTTCTTTATTATTGAATTTATTGTAATTTTGGCTTTATCCTTGTGTTATAGTGAACCTTCTTCCTCTCCTAGTGTGTCGTATTAGTGTACTGACAGAGTTTTGAGATGAATAAATCACGTTTGTATCTTGCGACTCAGTTATTGGCATGGAGTGAAGCGTTNTATACTATCATATTTAACAACATATTTCATTGTTCGCGAGTAAAAGAAATGGCTGTCCGTGTTAATGCCTACTCATATACAACTTTATATCTTTATGATCTACCCCGGCATTTTTTACTACGGTTTTTTCAGAAAACATTTCTAATTCGCTATTTTATAACGACGAGATTGCATTATACCACAAGCGGCATTTTACAAACTGCAATAATTGGGAAAATCAAGAAAAACAACAAGTATTGCTTGTTAAAAATATTTATTTTACGAATTACACACATTTACATTCACATTTACATTGTCACCTAATTTACATTCATTTTTCTTCTTTGCCCGTTTTGGGCTCATCATCATCGTCATTGTCTTCGTTCTTCTTCTTATTTTCTTCTTCTTTCGCCTCTTTGTCGAACTGTAGCTTGAGAAATTTTCTCAGGCGTCTTCGCCTTTTGGCCGTCATCGGCGGGGGACGCGGAACATTCTCTKCAACTACAAGTAGGCATAATAGACACATTAACTTAAACTTKCTTCAATTAATTTAGCATCACTTTAATTTATATAGCATTCATTGTAAAATATCTAAACATTGAGCACGCTCCCGCAAAATTGAGGCATTTCCGGCTCCATRTTAAACTTTAATGYGGAGAGGCGTTACGCCACGGCCTRACAATCAGATTTTTCATACGAGTWCGTACTATTACTGTATCATTCCCTTTCATCGTAACTTGAGGTGCAGGCCGGTGTTTTTTGGTACTTGTAGCATTTATTATTCATTACGCATTATAACAGCACAAAATAAACAAAATTTGGCGCGTTAAAATTTGGYGCGTAGTTTSTTTGGRCTGTTTGGTTTGAGCAAAATAAATATATGATCACTTTGCAATGGTAACAATGGTGGKAAGCAGCTCACAACTTCATTAAGTTGGAACATGCGATATGATCTCGCCTCAACGATAAAGAAGGGGGTTGTGCCCCAGAACATCACCAGGCTAAAACACTCCAAGGTAATGATACAGATAAATCTACTAATATGCTCGCCTATGTCGATGCATATTAGTAGATTTATCTGTATCATTACCTTGGGATGTTCTAGCCTGGTGATGTCCCCTTCTTTATCGTTGAGTAATGTGCCTGACCCCAAAACTTACCATCGCCGTCAATAAGTACCCCAGAGGCCATGTACTCTGGGGTCGACGGAAAATCTATATCCCAAAAGCCAGGAGGTGTGCTTGGAGGCGGCTTTGTATCCCTCCTGTGCCTGCAGGAGTTTAGAATTCTCCTCGCTTTTTCTTCGGGCTCAAATGAGTCGTAGTACTATAAGAAAATTTATAGTATAAGTTTAATTCCACACTAAATAGATACAGATAATATACTTACAT